AGCCAATGAACTCAGGGAGGCAGGGGACACATTCAACTAGCCCACCTCCTGGCATCATAGCACATACAGCAATGCAACGCTGCCTGTTCCTGCTTACACACACAGCAATGGCATCATCCTTGCTCCTGCTTACAAAGTAACTGAAGTCAGGGTAGAAGGGGTGATCCCCTCTCCTCCATCCCACCAGTGGCGAAGGAACCCTCTCCGGCACCCGGGGCGGGGCGCCGAGGAGCAGGGCAAACCGCCTGGTGACGCATGTGTGGCATCCCGTATGGATGGATCCTGCACGGTCGCTGTGCGAGAGGCAGCCCGTACGGATGCCCGTATGGACGGTGTGGAGAGCGGGAACCCGTACGGACACCGCACAAGCGCCATCCATACTGACTGTGCGCACCCTCAGCCTCTCTACAGCTAAGGGGAGGCAGGGGCCATCTTGTCACCCCCTAGAGTGGCACCCGGGGCTACCCATCCCCTCCGCCCCCCACTTCGTACGCCTCTGCATCCCACAACCCCCAATTCAGACCCCTCCCTCTGTTTCCTCTTCCTCCTCTTCCATCAGAGCCTGCCAATCGAAACCTGATTTTAACAGTGTTGTAGGGCTCATGACACCCCCCCACCCCACTTTAATGGGGTTTGGCTTGCTCTTTTAAACATTGAATATACTTACACTGGAGAGGTTTCTGCATGATAAACTCCACCCCAAAGGGCTTGAACTTTCTTTTATCAAATACTGTATATACAACACCAAAGTGAACTAAAGAGTCACTGTGGGTTGATAACCTTTACTGAGTGGTTGTCTTTTGTGTGTATTGGTGAGGGGTGGTCTGCCACACATCTGTAGTGCATTTTCCAGACTGCAGTAAACTGAAATTGTAAAATAAACCACTTTCCAAGCCTGAATTAAGTTCTGCCTTGGCACATGCTGGAAAATGATTGTTTGAACTTCCATTGGGTCACAGGTTTCCTTTCGTAATTTCCCAGCCAGGCCTACTTTTCATTACAAATACACCATGTGGTACAAAATATAGTTTTAGTCTCATAAGCTATCTTTCCATCTGTTGCTGTTATACATGGATCATGTTAGTACACCAAATAATGTAAATATGCCCTTACTCAAGTCTGGAAGTTGTTGCATCTCATAGGACACTAGCATAATTAATTGCAGAGAAAGAAGCAAGGTAGATGAGATATCTGTACTAACTCTTTATATAGAATTTGTAGACCATGTATATAGTTGCAGAGGCTACTTAGACACAAATGTGCATTAGCTGGTGAATAGGCTACTCTCTCCTTATAAAAACTTGCTCTGTTTTCATACTTTGAAGTTCTACTGTGGTGCCAAAATCAATACTTGGCAGCTGGGTTCAAAAGACAGGAATCTCCTCTTCACATTTTTCAATGTACATACTTTTGAATCTTATTAATAAAAGAAAGTGCATTTGATAAAATTAAAACCAGTTGGTCTGGTTGGGCACGCGTGTATTTTTTGCTGCAGAAAAGCTCATGCCTACATTTAAAAGTATGAAGGAAAGTTGGTGTTCTGTTAGTGCTGGTATTGTTGTTTAATTAAAATGGTTTTTTTTGAGGGGGGATTCAAGTAAATATTAATGAAATAACTAGTTGTCAGTTACAATTGAATCTAGTGATAATGCTTTTGGGAAACTCAAACATCAGGTTCAGAGCAATGAAGATTTTGGTATTCATATGCTGAAAGCTGCCTGCATAATGATCACAAAGACATGGAAATGGATAGAATGCCCTTAATAGGCTAATGGAAAAAGAACATCAGAACTTGATAGTATTGAATAAAATAATGTAATATAAACAATTATGCAATGAATGAATCAACTCAATAGAAATATTTCAGAAAAAAATACTTCTTTTATTCTTTACTGGAATCAGCATTGTACAAGGAATATTCTAAGCATGAATATTGAAACATGGTAATTAAGGGATATGAAACTTCCATTCAGAATATAAATTGTTACTGTTATTTTGCTAATATGTACAGGGATTGTTTTATATTTTGCACATTTGTCTTATTTTTATTTATAATGACAAATTATGAATAGAAAAGGTGAATATTTTAACATACCACATACTGTATGTGTCCTAGTCACTTTCTTCTTCCTTTTCCTATCTTTGTTTAGCTTTTTCTGTTACTTCATCATACATATATCTGATTTGTCAGTGAGTGGTTATTATTTGTGTTATGACAGGAGAAAATGAGTGTGTCAGAAAAACAGTAAGGAAAGACAGGAGATTATTATTACTATTATTATTAATCTTATTAGTCACCTTTGTGTCACAGGCAACTCAAAATGACAAAAAATAAAATAAAATACATACGTACAGTGCTTTTTTTCTTAAAAATGTTTAGGGGTACTCTCATTTTGACTCAAGAAAACCCTCATTTTATAGTTCAAAACGGGAAAAATGAATACAGTAAATGGACAAAAGTACAAAGATTCACAAAATATTTAGGGGTATGCATACCCCTGCCCTCCCCAAAGCACTGCATACTTATATTAAAACAAGGTGGCGCGGGGGAAGAAAACATTTAAACATCCCACCTACTCTAAAAGGCCTTGCTTAGATTGTTAAAAGCCAAAGGCCTCCATCCGGCCTGGTTAATTGTTCAATTTGGATAGGGTTAAAAACATAGGGTGCTATCCAATATTAAGGTGCCCCTGACCATTAGGTCAGGTCGTGGACGACTCTGGGGTTGCGTGCTCATCCTGCTCTATAGGCCGAGGGAGCCGGCATTTGTCCGCAGACAGTTTCTGGGTCATGTGGCCAGCATGACTAAGCCACTTCTGGCGAACCAGAGCAGCACACGGAAATGCCATTTACCTTTCCACTGTAGTGGTATCTATTTATCTACTTGCACTTGACGTGCTTTCGACCTGCTAGGTGGGCAGGAGGTGGGATCAAACAACGGGAGCTCACCCCGTCTAGGGGATTCAAACTGCCGACCTTCCGATTGGCAAGCCCTAGGCTCAGTGGTTTAGACCACAGCGCCACCTGCGTCCACTGATACTCAAGGTAGACCCATTAAAATCAATGGATTTAGGACTAACATAGGCTATCACCCATACAAATGGTTAAATAAACTAGCTTTCTTTTTCTGTATTAAGTAATAGGTTGATAGCTCCCAACTAGATTGTGATTCCAAGAATGACCAGATTATGTAAATTTGGGAAGCAAAGCACAGAGTGCTGCTGCAAACAGCAGCAGCAGCAGCAGCAGCAGCAGCGGCAGCTAGGGAGTCATCAGGTGGAGGTGTGGCCTGGCGAGACTTAGCAGATGCAACTTGTCATGCAATAGGCATGGTTCAAAGCTTTGGTAGACCCTTATCATGTGGGAGCTGGTAGGATTGTTGTGAGCAGTGCTTTTTTTCTTAAAAAATGTTTAGGGGCACTCTCATTTTCCTACTCATATTGAAATACTGCCCCTTCATGAGGCCAAATTTAGATTCACAAAATGTTTAGGGGTATGCATACCCCTGCGTACCCCCAGAAACAAAACACTGGTTGTGAGACCTGTGGCCTGGACAGATTGTGGAGAAATATTGATTATAAGGCACCTTCAGATGAGGGTTATGCAAAAATTGCTGTGGCTTAAAAAATGATTTATAAAGAAGTTAAACTAAAGCAGCCCCTAAAACAGTCTTAGTAAACTCTGCTGTGTATGTTGCTCTTTGTGAAATCTGTCCATTATAATACCCCCAAATAATGACCTTCAATGGTCCCATGCCTGTAAGAAAACAAATATCCCCAAATAAGGTAGGAGCCTAGGAGGTTTCTACAAACCTCTAGGAACGAATGTACGAATAAGTATACAGTATTAGTTTGTAAATGAAAAGAAATAAAAATAATATAAAATTTAAAAATTAGAAAGACTGACTAGGAACTATGGAATGTTGCAGAGAGTTGGGCCATTGAATGTTCCCTTTCAGCTAATCCTGCAATAGTTGGGAAATTTCTCTTTTGAAATTAAATGTGACTGTTGGACTTTCTGGGCAATTTCCACTCATATATGCAGTGAATACGATAGTTAAAGCTACTTTTTCAGTTTCACAATGCTTATGCGCTGGACATCATTATGTTTAAATATTTCTCTCTCCATTCCACTAAATTCCAGCTGTTTGTCCACAGGACCATAACTGACTTTGTCTTCCCATTATAGGCATTCCCATTATAGGTATTGATACCTGTGCTGAGAAAAACTACAGTAATACCTAAAGCAGGTACAGTAGTTCCTGCTTTATTTTTTCACTGGATTACATCTGCAAGGCACCCCCTGATTTAAAACAAGATAAATGTGAGGAAAAGGTTGTCTTTGTCATTTCAGGCTCAGGAACGCTCTGTGGCTACTCCAAGACTCCCAGTGGCATCTTGAGGGACAAAATGAAGCCTTCTGGAACATGAACACAATGTTCTTAGTTGCTGAAGTGACTCCGGAGAGTACTTGCCCTACTTATAAAAAGTGTGATGTAGAAAGCAGCCTTTGCTGGGCCAGAAAACAATCCGGCTGCAGGTCACAACAGCGGACCCATTGAGGTCATAACTAACTACTTTGGGGAGCTGACTTGGTGGGACTGATGGACTTTCAAAGTTTGCATTTTGGGAGTTGTAGCAGTGAACTTTTAACGTCCCACCCCCACCTCCATACAGTTCATAGAGGGTTTATTATTGTAATTAAAAAGTCAACTTTTGTGATCACCTTTGTCTCTGCTTCTCTTTCCTCGCCTCTTCCTCCCCCCATCACCCGCTTTTTCTGACTACCCCCCCCCAGCACATTCACATACGATGACGGCCTTTCTGCCTGCCTGCCTGTCTTTCATTCTCCCTTCCTTTCTTCCTTTGGCACTGGCAGGGTTAACGCTCAGGAATGCCCCAGCGAGGAATGTGCATGCAGATGAGATGGATGCTAATCTCATGCTAATGAGCGGCTGCTTCTGCTACCGCCGCCGCCGCCGCTCGGGGGGCTGAGCCGGGCTCCCCCCCCCCCACAACGCGACCCTCCGCGCCCGCCCCTGATCGGAACCCAGTCGCCGCCTCGGCTCAGCCTGGACCCCCCCTGACCCGCTGCTGCTACGGAATGGGGGCAGGAAGCGGAGACTCCCGTTCAGACATGGTGGACTGAAACTCCGCCGAGTTTCCTGGCCGATTTGCAAAGGCTCTGCCCGCCTCCCTCCACCCGCCCAGGGTTCCCGGGTAGAAGTAAGAGGGGGTGGGGGGGAAGAGAGAGAGAAGTAGGGTCGTCCTCCTTTTTCCCGCTTCCCTCCTTCCTTCCTTTCTTGTTTTCTGGTCCCTATGGAGCAGCAGCAGCAGCTGCTACCCCCCGCCCTCGGCCATGCCTAGGAAAGTGGGGAATGGGCAGCTGCCCTTACCCGACGGCTGGGAGGAGGCGAGGGATTTCGATGGGAAAGTCTTCTACATCGACCACAACACCAAGCAGACCAGCTGGATCGACCCCAGAGACAGGTGGGTGTAGATTGGGGGGGGCAGCACAAGAGGCGGGGGCTGAAGCATGGGGGGGGGGAAGCACTTGGCACCAGCCTCGCTTGTCCTAACTTTAGAGAGTTTCTTTCCGCCTCTCCTCTCCTCTCCTCCCTCCCCACCTCCTCCTCCTCCTCCCGTGTAAGGGAGGGTCTCGTACAGTTATATAAGAATCTGCAAAGAGTAAAAATAAAAAAAGGGGAGTGGGTTCCTCTCCAGTATTATTTTGGGAGGAGATGAGGGGTGTGTGTGTTTGTGTGTTTTTCTGGCATGTGTTGTCCTGCGAGGGGTGTGTGTGTTTGTGTGCAGTTGGAGACAAGAGAGTGAAAGTGACTCTTGCAAGGCTGGGAAATAAAAAGGAGAGTTTGCGAAGAGGAAGGAAAGAACTCTGGGAATGTCTTCAGGCTCTCGTGACCCGCCACAGAATCCCCACCCATTCCTTCTCCCCAATTTTTTTTTTTAATGCAAATTCCTTCTACCGTAAACTTTATTGCCTTTAGAACTAAAGTCGGTTGAGGCGCTCTCTTCCTTTTTAAAACAACAACAACTTTGCACAAGTTTTAAAGATTTATTTTTTAAGAAATCAGCATTCTAATTAGAATAGATTTGTCAGTCTTTTAAAGAATTCCGCCAAGTTGTTTTTACACTGCCTTTTTCTCTCTCTTCCAAAATCTACACAGTCAAGATCTTGGGACTGTGCAAAAAAAACACAAAAAAACCAAGTGATAAGACTGTATTTGACTTCGTTCTCTTTAGTACAAAACTTTTTTGAACAGCCTTTCTGAGGAGTAAGTGCTGCTGCTGGTGGGGAAGTGTAGGCAGTTTGCTCAGTCTGTTTTTGGAACTGCAAGTTTGGCATGTAACAGGTTTGAACTTCCATTACTTCTGAAATCCTGGATTATTATTAGTTATATATTTATATATATATAAATATATATATATATTTATATATATATATAAATAAGCCTTGTATGTTGTCTTGATCTCAACCCTATATGTGTATCCCTTGTTCCGCCCCACCTCTCTCCAAAGTGAGTTCTTGTGGAGAATCTGAGGGAAGTCTTCACAGGCCTCATGCCTGAACCACAAAACTAGGCCTCAACTGACTTCTCCCCCCCCCCCCCCCACACTTTACAGATTATAGGATGCTCCTTGCCTTTCCTAGTCCTCAAACTTGAGGTTTTGAATGTAAACAAGGGGATAAAATTCATGATGAGAGATCCTATAACTAATTATTTACTTTATAAATATTAGTTTCTATTTAATCCGTTGCAAGAATAATACTAGTGATCTAAAATGGCCTGTCTTTGGTTAAGGAACAGTTTCTCCAGTATATAATTTTCTTAAAACATATCTAGTGGCCATTTGTTCACATTTGGAACTAGTGTTGGACTTTATTAAGCCCAATGAAATCCAGTTATCTCCCAACTAATAAGGGGCATTATAAATTTATGGCACAAATGGTGCTGAATTATTCATGAAGGTCTTGGCTTATATTTCCTGGCTGAAATAAGAAAGAGTAGCTGCAGCGACTCCATGGTGCTTGCACACTGAAAAGTTTGACATGCCTCGTGCAAAATGTTGTAGCAGCTGCAACAATAAACACGTTACTGGAATGAAACTGTTTTCAAACTGCTGATCTAACATTCTTATTTGACGTTCTGTGTACTTCAAAAAAATCTCTGAAACAGAATGTAAATGTTGATAAAGCAGTGGGTTTTGCAGGTTGTGGTAATTGTACTGAGTTCTGCATATATTTGGCAACTTATAATGATAAAGTTTTGAAAACGTCTTACCTGTTTTCTGTTGATTTTACATTTAAATGTTTGTTTATGAATGGATTACAGAAAAAAATGTAATGCTTGAATGAAGGATATTGTGCTACTGTCTATCAAGAGTGCTGTAGACTCAAATTAAATATTGTTTTTGCTGTGCGTTGTTAACTAAATTTTGAGTTGTTGTGACACCTTGAACATGTGGATAGTATTGATCAGATATCTGGTTTTTCTGTTCTGCTAACCAGACTTGCAACTATAACTTTACAATTACATTTCCCCCTGCTATATTAAGAAAATGAAGTGCAATTTGCCTCTTGTATCACATGAGATTTGAGTTGACTACTGTCTTTCACTTTTCATTAATTTCCTAACTTCTGAAGTGAGAGAAGACTTGGGGCACTTTCAGCCCAGAGCTTGACTGTATTTTCTTTCACAAGAGCTAATGAAGTGAAGTCCTTGTTAAACAGTGTAGGAGACAGTGTTTGGGGTAACTCTATTAATGCTTGTCAATCTCATTACTCACTGTTACAGAACAAACAGAAAGAGGTATGTTGCACTTCGTACTTAAGATAATCCATAACTAATGTATGGGTCTCGGCTGTGAGACACAAATATGGGAACAAAGGGGAAAAGGCAGGTAATGTATACCCTGTTATTTGAGTTCAGTATACAGTGCATGATCCGCCTTGTAAAAGGTGAACATCTCATCTTGAATCTATCCAGAGTTATAGCCCAGCTACATACTGAAATATATGACTTACTCCCAAGAAAGTGTGCATAGTATTGCAGCATCATCCTATGCATATTTACTCAGAAGTAAGAACTATTATCTTCAGTGGGTCTTATTTTTGGGCAAATGTGTGTCAGATTGTAGCCTAGCCCCAATTATTTCAGTTGATTTTCTTTGCTAGTACTGTGGCACCTCGGGTTACATACGCTTCAGGTTACATACGCTTCAGGTTACAGACTCCGCTAACCCAGAAATAGTACCTCAGGTTAAGAACTTTGCTTCAGGATGAGAACAGAAATCGCACAGCAGCGGAATGGCGGCAGCGGAAGGCCCCATTAGCCAAAGTGGTTCTTCAGGTTAAGAACAGTTTCAGGTTGAGAACGGACCTCCAGAACGAATTTTTTTTTTTTTTGCAACATAATTTTTTTATTATTTCAACATAAACAAACGAAACAAAACAAAAATTTCTTATTATTTTACAAATTCATTCTTAAGACTTCCTTCGACCTCTTCGCAAATCTTTCGTTATCTAACTAACACCTATTTTCGCATCTCCAACTATCTATTGACATTGTTTCATTCCTTTCCATCCTTTTCCTTTTGACAATAGACTTACTTTTCTCACAGAGTTCTTTTAAACCCTACTAGCGTTATTCGACCCTCACATAATTTATCCAGATACTCCACAAATATTCCCCAATCTTCTATAAACTTTTGATCTTTTAAATATCTAATTTTCCCCGTCAATCTATCTAGTTCCGCATAATTTAGTAATTTCTCCCTCCACTCCTCTATTGTCGGTATCTTCTGTTGTTTCCAATTTTGGGCAAGTAAGACTCTTGCTGCAGTTGTCGCATATTGGAAGAATTTGCCATCTTTGCTCTTGATCTCATTTCCTGCTAAACCTAGTAAAAAGGCCTCTGGTTTTTTCCCAAAAGAATATTTTAGAATTTTTTTCATTTCCATATACACCTCTTCCCAGAAACCCTTAACCCTTTTACAATCCCACCACATGTGGTAGAAGGTTCCCTCTTCTTCCCTGCACTTCCAGCATTTATTACATGTTTTATACATTTTTGCTAATTTTGCAGGGGTAATATACCAACGATATAACATCTTCATTAAATTTTCCTTCAATGTTACACATGCAGTGAATTTAAGATTTTTTTTCCATAATTTCTCCCATTCTTCATAGTAGATATTGTAGCCAACGTCCCTTGCCCAAAGTATCATCACCGACTTTACCTCCTCGTTTATTAAGTTCCATTCTAACAGCTGATTGTACATTTTTGATAAAATTTTATGGTCGTTATTTATTATCTCCATCTGAAACTTTGACTCTTTTCCTACATATCCTCTATCTTTAATATCTTTCTTAGCCACTTCGTTTATTTGGAGATAATGTAGCCAATCAAACACCTTTTCCTTAACCTGATCGTAAGGTTTTAATTTCCACTTCTCCCCTTCTTTAATTAACAATTGGTCATAAGTAATCCATTTTTCACTCATATTTATTTTCTTAAGACTTGTGGCCTCTAGTGGTGACATCCAATGTGGGACCTTAGGTTCCAATAAGAATCTATTCCTCTCCCAGACTGAGAACGGACCTCCGGAACGAATTAAGTACTTAACCCGAGGTACCACTGTAAATGTGTTTCAGAGTATAGTAAGGGCTGACATTAAGAACTGTTGTGCTGGCACAGTGACTTGTAGAATCAGGTGTAAGGGTCTCAGAATGGCAGCTCAAGAGTGAATGATGGGGCCGTATCTCAATGCATGCTTTCAATGCAGAAGGCCTTAGATTCACTGTCTGACATCTCTGCCTTTAAAAGGCATTGAGTAAAAGAGCACAGAAAAACTTCTCTTTGACAGTCAGTCTTGGTCTTACCAGAGACATTTATAGTTAAAACCCCATATTGGGGGTGAATTGCAGAGTAGTCACGAGGCACAAGCATTGCATGTCAAAGTTCCCAGGTTCAGTTCTTGGCATCTCCAGGTAGGGCCCATTATGAAATGATAGAAATCTGCTGCCACCTAGTATAGACAGTAGTGAGTCTGATGGACCCAGTGGTCTGTCTTTGTACAAGCAAACTTCTATGTTCCAGGTTTGCCGTGGGAAAGGCTGCAGAAAGTTGAGTCGGGGTAGGTGCTTAACCATTTCTCTGCAAATACCCCAGAAATCTTTTCAAAACCTTTAATTAAAACCCTAGATTCACTTGATATAGAGCCCAGCTGAAAGAAAATGTGTGGGATGCCTTCCGCATAAGTAATCCCTCCCCCACATTCTTCTATCCTTGAGAAAATCTGGGGTTGGGACCATAAACTGGCTGAGATAAAGTCTACCAGTCAATAGTAGACCATACTAAGCTAGATGGACCAGTGATCTGATTCTTATATAAAGTAGTATCATATCTAATATATTGTATCTTTCTAATGTTAGGACTCTATTCGGTGTCCAGCACCTGTTCAGTAGCTAC